CTATTCCCCACTATCCAGTCAGAGCTGAAGGAGCTTCTTGGATGAGAAGCAAAACGCTTTCAAATAAAAACCATTAGGAAATTTCTCCTTAGCTCTCGAGTGCATTCTTCTCTCCTTGGTTAGTTTCCATCCATTATTTCTTGTCCTGCCTTTTGGTGCCTTTTGGTGCTTTGGAAAATAGTTTGGCCCCTTAAATATTGGAACACTTGGACATATTGGACATTATCATGTCACTCCAGTCCTTCTTTTCAGTAGACTAGCCATACCCAATTCCTGCAAGCAACCGTTCTTCGTATGTTTTAGCCTCCAGCCTCCTAATCATCCTTGTTGCATTTTTCTGCAATCTTTCCAGAGACTCAACATCTTTTCTATAATATGGTGATCATGCAGCCAAGTGTGGTCTTACTCAGACTTCATCTGAAATGCCTCCTAGATCAAGACTAAATCCACCTGGCTCACCTTTTTTTACAAGAAGCCCAGAGGTCAAGAAGGGTGAAGGAGCCCATCGTAAACTTAATCCTTGATCCTCCACTGAAGTGCCCCGTGTTGCTTAGCCTCTTAAAAACTGTCATCTTCCTTGGAAGCAGAAATGTTTCTCCAAATACTGTAGCTTAATTAGTGATTTAGAGTGTTTGATGGTTTCTGAGAAGAGGTTAATTGTTGTTAACCCCCACTTTTTTTTCCTGGCTTCTCATTACTCAGTTGTCAGCCCAGCCATTAAAAAGAGCATCTGGAACATTAATGAATTGGAGGCAAGGTTGCTGTTTAGACTGAAGGCTCTGTAGAGTTTGAAGCAATTAACTTTGCCAAATCCGTTGCCCAAAGAATCGCCACTCCGCACTTTGAGAAGGTGAAATTCCATTAGAGCTCCGTCTCTCCAAGGTTGGAGGGCTTGCTACCCTGATTTATGTCGGCCCAGACTCGTTGACAAGAAAGCCCTGGGATTCGATCCCATCACTTCAGTTGCCTCTTAGTCTTCAAGCTAATCCCACTTCAGAATCTCATTTTCTCATAAAGCCTTAGAGCTGTGGCAGTGGTGGCATTCTACCGGTTTGGCCCACTTCTGCCGAGCCAGTAGTGCCGATGAGCAGCGGAGACCAAACTGGTTCTTTCCACCCCTCTGCTATTGGGCCCACCCGCCCACCTGAGCTACCATACTCACCTTTATGCTCTGAATTTGAAGCGCAGCTGCTTTGCACAGCATGGAAGAGTGCCATGCAGCAGCTGCTGAAGCGACAGGGAGAGTGCAGGCTTGCAGGAGGTGAGTCAGAAAGCCTCTGTGTCTGCGCAAAGTGCACCTTTGGCGCATGCGTGTGTGCAAAGTGTGTGCGCACATGCATAGCATGCCCACCAAGCCACGCCCACCGAACCAGTGGTAAAAATATTTGAAACGCACCACTGAGCTGCGGCCTGTTTTGCCACATGGTAGCAGGTAGGTTTCTGCCCTCCCTTCCGCTTTGCGTTGCAAGAACCAGGTGAGGCAGAATTTTCCCCACAAAAGAAGCCTTGAATTGGGGGAGGGGGGATAATCTATGTAGCCCCTTCAGGAGTGGGAGTGTTGTAGACATGCAACTTCCAGCCTCCTTTCTGGACCTTCGGCTCTACAAGGAACATCCTAGCACAGGGATCAGCAACCCGTGGCTCTGGAGCCGCATGTGGCTCTTTCATCCCTCTGCTGTGGCTCCCTGTTGCTCAAAATATGTGTCACAACCACCAATATGCATGACACATGCCGGCACGTGGTTTATTGAGTCAAATTACTCCCAGTAGGCCAACCATGGGTAAATTCAAGAAAAGAAAAGTTTCAGAAGAAAACAGAACATTTAATTCAACTATATATGCTAGTCTTGTGGCCGCTCAGGAAATAGTCGGGCATGGGAAGGTTTTTGTGGCTCCCGGTGTTTTCTGTGGGAAATGGGTTCCAATGGCTCTTTGAGTGTTTAAGGTTGCTGAGCCTGTCTTAGCAGGTGAAGGATTCCACTCCACTCTCCTTCATACCGGCCTCCTTAGGTTCCCAGAACAGAGAAGCTGTTGGCTGGCTGGTTGGGACAGACAGACAGACGTCCTAGTCCAAAGCCTCTGATGTTGGCCTCCGCCTGCTCTCGGGCTGCTTTGCTCAATCAGCCCGTCCCTTTCCATGAATCCACCTCACAGATAGGTTGTATCCCTGTGAAGGAACATCTTCCTTAAACAAGCAGAATGATAGAATAACCGAAGGGAAGGGATTGTCAGGCCCCATAGATTCCTATAGGGATGCTGTCTTTCTGGTGGGAGGGGGAGGCTTGGGGGTGGTGGTCTCTGTATGGCAGAGGTCCCCAAATTTGGCAACTTTAAGACTTGTGGACTTCAACTCCCAGAATTCTGGGAGTTGAAGTCCACAAGTCTTAAAGTTGTCAAGTTTGGAGACCTCTGCTGTATGGGGTTTCTGTTTCTATTTCTTGCTTTGCTTTGCTTTAATTTTTGGGATTAAAATCTTGGGAGAGGGAAAGGAATGTGCCTTGAGCCAGCTGCTTTATCTCGTCTCTGGAGGAGAGCAGCAGCGTTGCCTTGGAGACCGGAGTTTATCCCCTTCTCAGCCTGAGTTTCCCATAACATCTTTGCACCTCCCAATTGGCTGGATGATGAATCGGACTTTGGGAGGGGCTCTGTCTGCAAAGGTTTAATCTAACACTTTGAGCGGGAAAACTTAGTTCCTGCCTCCATCTCTTGCTATCACAATCCCCCAGTAAAAGCTTCCTTTTGAAATGGCTTTTGTTTCAAGAGTTCTGCTTCTTGGGAAGACTGTCGAGGCAGGATCTTACAGGGATCTTGGAGGTCTTCTAACCCAATCCCCTACTCAAGCAGGAGACCCCAGACCCATGATGGTGAACCTATGGCACGGGTTCCGGAAGCGGCATGCAGAGCCATCTCTGTGGGCAAGAGAGCTGTCGCCTCAGCTCAGTTCCACTGTGCATGCACGCACACCCTCCCGCCAGCCAGCTGATTTTCGGGTATCTGCCATGCGTGCGTGGGGGGTGGAGCGCGTGCGAGAGATGTGTGCGCATGTGCAGGGGGGGCATGGGAACACGAGGGGTCATGCGTGCATTGCATTATGGGTGCAGGCATGCATGCATGCTCTCGTGTGTACACACACACACTTTCATCCTGCAGCACACCCGCACTTTCAGCCCTGCCCTAGACCATTCCGGAGACATGGCTATCCACTCTCTTGCAGTGGAGTTTCTGCTGTGGGCTCAAGCAGGGTGCTGGCACAATCCATTTGGTAGGAACTACAGCCGGGGTCCTCAAACTTGGCAACTTTAAGACTTGTGGACTTCAACTCCCAGAATTCCTCAGCCAGTTGAAGTCCACAAGTCTTAAAGTTGCCAAGTTTGGGGACCTCTGAACTAGAGAGAAACCTTGATGGACCTTGTCCTGAAGATACCTTTGCTAACCATCACCTACACTGACCATTCACTTCTCAGAAGGCATTGAGGTGGCCCCACCTTGGCTGCCTCCCTTTCCTCTTGTTGCTTCTCTCTTGTGCCTTTTTATCAGGTCATATAAAATCGGACTGTAAGAAGAAAATAGCAGGATGTCTTTCTGGGCTCATGTGCGCCAGGTATTGGACTAAAACATGGGAGATGGGAATTGTAGTCCAAAGCATTTGGAAGGCAGCCGATTGGGGAAAGATGGATAGTCTGGTGCCTGTTGGGTCAGAGGACCTCAGCCCACATCACTGTCTGCGTTAAGGAAGTGCTCAGTGAAGTGATGGGTGTGAGATTTTTGCCTTTCACCTCCCCAATAGACAATCTGCCTGGTAGAAAATTTAGATTCTTCAAGGTTAAAAGCTGGTCAATAACTGAAATAAAGAGACTTGACTTAAGTGTTGTAAATAGGCACTAAATGATTTTTCCACTGGTATTTTGCTTTTTAGAGGAATGAAATCTGGACGGTGTTGAAGCTCTGGGGTGCAGCAGTGTCTTTGCTCCCCTTTACAGAAGGGGGTCTCCCAGGGTAGCTCATGTGAAAACAGGCGTGGAGTCCCACTAACTGGTCACAAGCTGGGTGCGGTTGCTGCTTCCTGACAGAAGTCTTGAGTGAAGGCTGAGTGGGGGGGGGGGCAGGGGAGTGGGTTGGTTTCACCCCCTCCGTCCCTGGAGTTTTTTTTTCTTTTTAGAGAGCAGCTTTACTGTGAGGTTGTATCAGGCTCCTGGGAAGAATCTCTGCCACTTGCAGAGAAAGTGCCTGGAATGATGAAAATCATCATCTCCTTTTAATGACCCCCATAATCCATTGTGGGCTGGAGTCTAGGCAACTGAATGGAGTTGAGTGTTCAATGGCCGGACGCCCTTCCTGTCATCAATGCGGAGTTCTATTCTCAGTTCTATTCTCAGTTCTATTCTATTCTCTAGAGAGAGAAATACCTAGAATTGAACTCACAGCCTGGTGATGGTGAGGGGAGAGCTCCACCTCTAGGTCACCTTGAACATTGAAAATGCAAGGTAGATAATTGTGAAGATCAGGACTTTCATTATTCCCCCAGCATTTTTTCCATGGCAAAAAGAGTTTCCTCCACATTTTAAAGATGCTTTCCAATGTATGTCAAACCATGTTTTGGGGCTCAGTCACCGATAACACTGGAATGGCTTTATGGGGGTGCCTTTTCAGTCCCCCTCCCCTGTGGCCTCCTTTGCTGGCCACAGTTCCTAGGGCAAGGGGTGCTTTTCCTTCTGGGGCCAGTCAGGGAGATTCCAGCCATTCTGGACTGAAGCCCGGCAAGAGGAGATGGCACCCACGCAAAGGTCACTGACCAGGCCTCCTTCTTCAGGAAAAGTAAATGAAAAACCATCTATTTTGTACCCAATCGAATGAGAGCGATTGAAAAAGCGCAGCCGTGGTTTCCAGCATGAATAGCAATCGTGATAGTAATGTTGCATGCTAGCAGGCAGTTACTTGTAGAGCTGGCAGAATCTGCTGAGGGGGACTTCACCTCACCTGACTGTTCTCTCTCCCTCCAGGACCCTCGGAGCAAACACAAGTTCAAAATCCACACCTATTCCAGCCCAACCTTCTGCGATCACTGCGGCTCTTTGTTGTACGGACTTATCCACCAGGGGATGAAATGCGACAGTAAGTCCCAGCCAGCGAGCTCCGGTCCCAGGGAAACCCCCGGCTCCATTCACCTGTCCTTGGGAGCCTGTCAGAGCAGGTGGGAGAGAGGGAAGAGGGGGGGTCCTTGCGTGGGGGAGCTGTGGACCTGGCCAGCTGCAGCTCTGACTGCATCCTGAGAAAAGGATCAATGAGCAGAGAACCGAGCTGCCTCAGGGGAAACAGGTCTGGGGAGGGGTGAATGCAAGGAAGCCCCCGCCAGTCTTGTCTCTCTCTACCGGTTGCTGGTGAGGAGTCCGTGTGCACGGCAACATCTGTGTGAGGGGGTTCTTTCCAGCAGTGTTCCACTACCACTTTGGTGATCGCACGCCGTGCGCACCTAACAAGTAGGCACAGCTTTCCGCACCCCAGCTGAGGCCTGTGGCGCCAATTAGCTGAGGGGATCAAGAAGAGAAAAGTGCAAGGCTGGGTGGGGGGGCCACTCCTGCGCTTCCCTCTTCTTTCTCCTGGCAGCCGATCGATTGGAGGGAGGCCTTTTTTTTTACTACTGATCCGGGGGAACCGGTAGCAGGCCCCCACCGGTCCTTTCCCAATCCCATGTCTGTGGAGAGTCTCAGTCATCCAGGCCCACTTGGTTTCCCCCACTTTTCCTTGGTGTTTTTTTTTTTTTTTTTGTTCCCTCTGAGATGTTTTGCTTCTGCATCCAAGAAGTTTCTTCCGTTCTCTGAAGAAGCTCCTTGGATGAGAAGTGAAATGTTTTCCAAGAAAAAAAGCCCAAGAAAGTCAGTTGCTTTTTGGAAAAAGCACCCTTGGGTTCACAACCCCCTGCTATTCCTTTGTGCAGGTATGGGGCTGGTGTGTGTCAGCCTTCTCCTTCCTGCACTGAATGCGTGGAGCAAAGGCGCATCAGGCTTCTGGGGGATGGCAAAGCATCTCCCTCCCCATAGAGCCACAGACTGTCTTACCGGGACTCCGGTCACTGACTAAGCTGGAGCAGCCCTCTTGAAGAGTACTGGGCAGCAGGTAGTCATGTTTACCTGTTGAGTTTCTCATAATTTCTTTAGATGAGAGGATAGAAGAGGAACTCATCAGATTCAACCAAGCTAGGGGGGAATAGCCAGCAGTTTAAAAGATTTAGAAGGATCTTGTCAGACTGGAATAGGGGGCCCTATCCATGCAAAAAGGCAGTTTAGTGGTGAGAAAAGTAAGGTTTTCCACTTAGGCAAGAAAAACCAAATGCACAGGTACGGAATAGGTGGCACCCTGGCTCAGTAGTAGGCCTGTGAGAGAGATCTAGGACAGTGTGGGATTCCATTTTTTTTACTACGGGTTCTGTGGGCGTGGCTTGGAGACTGTAAATTCTCCAGTCAGAGGTGGGATTGGCCAGTTCTCCGAACTACTCAACATTTCCGCCACCGGTTCTCCAGAACTGGTCAGAACCTGCTGAATCCCACCTCTGATCTAGGCGTGTTAGTAGACAATCACTGTGGGATGAGCCAGCCGTGTGCTGCAGCTGCCAAAAAGCCAATGCAGTCCTAGACTGTACCATCAGCGGGATAGTACCCAGATCAGGTGAGGTGTTAGTACCACTTTATATTGTACTGGTGAGACTGTACCAGTTCCGGTCACCATTGTACAGAAAGGATGCCGAGGCTCTGGAAAGAGTGCAGAGAAGAGCAACAGAGATGATTAGGGGGCTGGAGGCTAAAACATATGAAGAACCGTTGTGAGAACTGGGTATGTCTAAGCTTAAAAAGAGAAGTACCAGGGGTGGCATAAGTCTTCCAACATTTGAAGAGCTGCCATACAGAAGACGGGTATCCCCCATAGCACCTAAGAGCAGGAGGAGAAGTAATGGGTGGAAGACCATCAAACAGACACCCAATCCTGCAACTGAGGAGAAATGCCATGCCCGTGAGAACAATTAACCCCTGGAATGGCCTGCTTCCCAAGTGGTGGGTGCTCCATCGCTGGAGGTCTTCAAGAAAAGATTGAGCAGCCATTTGTCCGGGATGGTACAAAGACTCCTGCCTTGGGCAGAGGTTGGACTAGAAGACCTCCAAGGTCCCTTCTAGGATTCTCTGATTCTAAGTTGAAAACTCCCAATTGCGGAAAAGATGGGCTAGCAGTCACAAAATATGAGCTTAGGGAGCCCCCTAGTGCCCACCTTATGAATTGCAGCCACCTACCTTAGTGCACTGAGATGCCAGAGACCAAGGAAGGGATAAAGAGTTTCCCTCTGGTATGTGGATCCTAAGCAAGAAGGATGCACCAGAAGGGCCGTCGGCCTCCTAAATAGGGCACATCTTTGCCTGTGCTCACATGGCAGGTGAGGGAATTCAGAAAAATACACCTTGAAGGATTCCTATCACAGCTTCCTTAAAGCTTGTTTTCCAGGAATCTTCGTGTTCCCATTGGAGCCGAAGGTCCCAGAGAGAGGCATTCAGAAACCTGGGAACAGGCGGCGGGGGGGGGGGGGGGGGGGGGGGGGGGGGCCGAGCGCAGGGCTGCACCCCTGGCATGTCCCAGGTGTTTAGGAAATCCCAGGGGCTTCGCAGGGAGAATGCTCTCACCAAGGCTTCCTGAGACCGTAATTAAGCAGACGCTTAGTGCAAACAACTCTTGTTTTATTTCAATGCTGGGAACAATTATATTGTTCATTCCCAGCTGGTAATGAGTCCCAAACAGTCCCTCGAGATAAGCACCCACCTTTCTCTCCTTTGAATGGCTGCCAACAATTAAAGTGCCATTAACGGGAAAAAAACTAACCGAAGTACAAAGTCCACACAGAGCTTCAAGGTTTAATCCGAACAGAACGAACAACTTTGCTTCCTGCAAAGGTGTCTCTACCCTTGCACTTCCTTTATACCTTATGGGAGGGGCAATCACCTCCCAGCCTTACTCCTGAGTCACCCCTTTTGTCTTAGCTGCTCTCGCCTTCTAGCAGCTCTGTGCATACGTGCACTGGGAACAGGCTCCCTTTGTTTCTCTGCCTCGCTGCTGCCAGGCTCTGGAGGCAGCACTCCCAGATGGTCCTGGCCCCATCCCTGCATCGAATGCAGGAGCCTCGTCCGAGTCCTCCCCAGACTCCCAGACTGGTTCCTGTTCTTCTCCACTGTCCAATTCTGCTGCCATCTGCACAGGCTGCTGAGGAATCACAACACAGAACCCCAGTTAACATGAGTTGTTTTGTGGTGATGCTCTTAAATATTAGTCTGACAAGGTACAATGTGGGAGGACATGGCCTCCTTCAACCCCCTCCCCTCAAAAGTATTTCTTCTTGGGAAGGAAACATTTGGAAAGACAGACAGAAGGAAATGCAATGAAAAGAAGTCCCTATTAGCCCTCTGAGGGGCTCCAGATTTAAAGAGCATTTTCCCAGGATGCCAAAATAGCATGGCAGAATCCTAGATAAGTTGTATGTCTTACAGAAAACCTAGTTGAGCCCCTGGTCTGTCCAGGGCAGGAATCCTCAGATCATCCCAGATGTTTGGCTACCCACTCTTGTCTCTAGTGGATGGAGCCCCAGTGACTCCAGGAGGCTTTTACATTGCTTGGTAGCTCTGGAGAGTCAGAAAATCTTCCTCATTTTGAATTGGCCAATTTCCGCCCTGTTGGTTCCTCTCCTGGCCTTGGGCATGACGGCAGCTAAAGCCACACCTGCTTCCCTGGCCCAGCCCTCCAGAGATGGGAGGGGTGCCCTCAAGCCTCCCCCCACCGGCCTTGTCTTCAGGAAGGAGCAGAGGGTCTCTCAGGGCAGCCCCACACATGGAGGCCCACTGAGACGCCCTCGCTGGCCTTCCGTTTGGGACTGACACCAGGGGTGGCCTTCAAAAAGTTTGGCAACGGATTCTCTGCCCGATTGCTGGGTGGGTGTGGCCATGGTGGGTGTTGCCCAGTCTACCTCCTGCACCACGGTGGTGATGGGAGGGTGTTTTTGTCCTCCCCGGACTCCTGAGGCTTTTCTCGAGCCTCTGGGAGGGTGAAAACGCCCCCCCAGGCTCCGGAGGCTCTATGGAAGCCAGAAGGAGGCCCATTTCTGGCTTTCCAGAACTTCCTGTTTTTTGCCTTCCCTGAGCCTCAGCGCATGCTGTGCACTTACCTGGGATCTAAAACGGGCCACATGGGGGCCCCGGGGGGGGGGGGGGGGGTGGGGGGGGGGCAGCCTGGACTGGGAGTCGGAGGTTCTCCAAACTGCACAGAATCTTAGCTAGGGGCTCTCCTGAACCCCTGCGGACCCCCAGCAGCCCCCCCCCTTGGCTGACACCATTTCTCTCTCTGCCCCAGCCTGCATGATGAACGTGCACAAGCGCTGCGTGATGAATGTGCCAAGCCTCTGTGGGACAGACCACACTGAGCGCCGAGGCCGGATACATATCAAGGCGGACATTGAGAACGAGGTCTTGACGGTTTTCGGTAAGTCTGGCTTAGGGGAAGAAGACCGGATCCCTTCCTGCTGCAAGGGATTTCGTGCTCCTGGGTGACGGCTGCACAGGTCCATCCAGAGAGAAAAGGGTTGACAGATAACGTGCTATGGCGATTGCTAATTTTTGTCCTGCTGTGAGTTGACGGTGGTGAATTGTCATAGACCATTTCAGACACCCTGTGGGTGGTTAGTGGCACCTGCAACTGGGTCCCAGAGAGAATTTGTGCTGAGGTTCTTTTAATGTCTTGTGGATATTTTCTCAATAGAATTGTTAAAAACCTTACATGCTGTGTTTTTTCAAGGATTTTTCACTTCTTATCTCTGGTGCCTGCAGCTGGGCACCATTGTCCTGAATGCCCCCTTCCTTCAGTTGGCCCACAAATCCAGGGAGATGGGAGGGTGTTACCTTTTCATTGCTCCGTGTGTGTGTGTGTGTGTATGTGTGTGTGTGTGTGTGTGTGTGTGTGTGTTTATTGTGTCCCTCAGACTGGTTGTGTCTAGAGCAGTGATTCTCAATCTTTTCTTCACCTTGGACCCCCCCTTTAAATACATTTTGTGGCCATGGACAATTAAATTAAATCAAATTAGAGAAATGAGATGGGTGACAATTTTCTTGTTCACCACAGCCCTTCCACTTTTTTCCACGTCTTTCTGTCCTGGAAAGACATCAGTTGGATCCAGTTGCATCTGTCCAGGTGTGGCCCTTCCTTACAGTCCTTTCTCTCTTCCCTCTTAGATTTGTGTTGCCATTCCATCCACCCCACATTTATTCTCTCCATATTATCAATGATCAGCCTCTTCCGTGAACTTCTTTCCTTTAAGGTGTGCAAATATGGCCCATTTACCACCAGTGGACTTCAACTCCCAGAATTCCTGAACCAGCTTTGTTGACTTAGGAATGCTGGGAGTTGAAGTTCACGGTTATGAAGGGGCCATAGTAGCCCATTCTGAGTTAAGGCCACTCATTTCAATCACTGTTTCAATTCACCTTCATTTACTGTCCACAAATTCTTGAACCTCTCCCATCTTCTCTTGCCAAGCAATCCATTTTCACTGCATATGACACATTTTCATATTTCTCCTGATATATCCAACCCTCCTTCAACTCTTTTTCTGTAAACATTGTAAACTTTCTTCATCTGTTTCTTCATCTTTAGTAAACATTCAATCAATGCAGGCAAATTCGTTACTTGCTTTACCAGGTGGGCCATTTACATTTAACTTGCAGCCATCCGCTGCCGTTTTCTCTGCCAACTTCCTTGGCCTTTGATCAATTCATTCTTTGACTCGTAATTATCATTGCCTCAAAGAATCTATTTGACATTTGCCGCAAATCAGTTGGATTCTCAGCCTACAACTTGACATCTTCAAAAACCGAACTCAACCCACATACATTTACACCCCCAACAAACAGGCTTCTGACATCTGCACAAATATTTCTTATGCATTTATCCACACACATGTCAAACAACTCCAGAAACATAGCACATTCTTTTTTTTTTTTAATAAAATTTTTATTTGGGTTTTCACAAAACATAATACAAATAAAATTTCTTTTTTTGAGAATAGCATAGTCCCAGGTTATCACTTCTCCATACAGACACAAATTCAATTTCATATTCATCTTGGTGTTCTATTCCATATCTTATTACTAT